GATTTGGCAAATAGCAAGAAAGTTGTAATAGGCAAGTCACCAAAAATAAATTCGGGGGAGAGATCAAAATTGACTCAGTCCGAGTTAAAAATAACACCCCATACTGAAAACACATCTTTAATTAGCTTTTTAACTGGGTATAAGCCAAGGAACTAGCAACTTCACCTGATGTGAACATGAAGCCCAGGGACTTGGATGCAGAGCCAGCAGCGACTTTTAAAGTCAAAGTGATGCTAGTGTCTCTTCTGTTCCAAAATAAACCTTTCTTCAAAGAATCTAAATTCCACAGTATAATTTTTTTAAGAGAAAAATTTAAACTCAGTGATTTCTTTGATCTTAAATGTTAAAGAAACTGAACTGAAAACTCAAGCAATGCAAGTACCGTATAAATACCAAGTTACAGTTAAATTAACTCAGTCTCAACACTGAACTTAGCCAAATTTAATTTAGAGAGTTGATACTCTTGATTTCTAAAAAGAACTCTAGAAGGTGTCTTGTAAATCTGAAGTAAACAGAAACCAAAACCTCCTTGATTCAGGGCAATTTCAACGTTTTGTTACTAGAAAAAGTTACTGTAGCAATTGGCCACAACTTCAGAATCAATTAAACACTGTTCTTAAAACTCCATTGAGAAATGTACCCTCTTCCTCTCAACCACAATAAATTATAATACCGACTTCAGCTAAAGTCTACTTATCAGGAACTTGCAAAGACCAGGCTTACCAGACACTATGAGTAAGTTGTGTCCCTCTCATCATGCCTTTTAGATGTGAATTCATGTTATCAGGTTTACTTTATACATTCATTAAGCCTAAATAATCAAGAGTGGAAAGAAGGGGGTGGGGGGGAAGCAGCCTTAGCAAAACACACATGGGGAGTTATTTTCAAACACCTTTTCTCCCGGCCTTTGAAACGCATGCACATACGCACTCATACACAATTCCTATTGTTTCCACGCTTGGTCTGTTTCAGCTGAAACACAGAAGATATGCCACTGAACAAAAGGATGGCAACAGGAGCAGGAAAAGGCAAAGGTGAGAGGAAAAGAAGCCTTCTCCAATCTTGTGATACAGAAGCTGGAACCACAGTCCCAAAGCCAGAGCTTCTTTCACCAACTCAGTACTTCTCACTCCTAAACCTCTTCCTGAGCACATTGTGAGGGATACATGGTTGCAGTTCGCTAATTCAGGTCATCAATTCCTCTACCCAAACAATGAGCTGCTAGCTCTGACTTCTCCAAATTTCCCTTCATTTGGACTGCAAGTGCCCGGCCTCACAGATCCACCTTCAGAAGACCCTGACATAAGGAAAGGAACATATAAAGCCTAGACTTAACTGCACAGTCAAGACTAATCAAGATTTGCACTGTCATCCTTAGACAAGTTTAAAAGAGAAATCCAGTGCCTAACAGTGCTTTTAGAAATACTGAGGATTTTTACCACCACAGTGGTTAGAAGTTGCTCTTTCTTCCTCCGCATATTCCAGTATTACAGTTGACTGTTACAGTTTACTGCTTTCTTGAGAAAGCTGGTTATGCATCCTCTGGGTAAGAGGTTTTGTGGTGCAATTTTACATAGTAAGATGTTCACTATGATGTAATTCCCATGAAAACAAACTGTGGATGAAAAATAACACATCCAACAAGTTCAAGTGGCATACAAGAATTAAGTTGGCACTTAAAATTTGGAAGCTTACTTCTCAAGAATGTCACCTATACTATGGAATTTATCAAGACTAATTTTAAGTAAGAATTTTAATTCTTAGCAATATCTCAAATATGTTCTTTCTTTCAATCTCTCCCCTCTAACTCAGCCTTATTTCCATCTCCACACTCTGTGCATGGCTTCCCTACTATTTTCTCTCATCAGCTTATTTTAAGCTTTTCCATTCACCCACGTACTTAACACCAGCTTGGAAGACTTACTGTCAGAAAGGGCCCGAGAGTGATGGCTGCTATTTCCAAGGGAAACTGAAGCCCATCAACCCCTTACCCCAAGTGTTTGACAGGAAAAGGTTGCCTGAACGCAGAGCTCCTCACCCCTTCAGCTGCCTGGCACCTCCATTCACTAGCTTCTCTGTAAGTCAGGGAAGCAACATGAATCAAATCACTGTCACACTGCTGTTACTATTTGGTTCCCTGGATGCTGCAGGGATAAAGTCAGTGGTATTACCAAGGAGAAGGGTTTTGGTGTGTTGTGAAGGGTATGCATGACTGGAGCTCACAACCCAAGTCACCTCCTTGACGCATGATACTGAGCCTGGTACTTTTCCCACAGGGAATAACCCCTTGTTCAACATGGCACACGTGAACGCAGCTCCAAACAAACAGAGGTTCTTCCAGTGTAAATTGTTTTGGGCACATTCAGCATTTTCAAATCAGCTTGTACACACCTCTGTAGCTGGGGGAAATCTCAATAGCAGCAAAGGAAAAGGGCACTGCTTGGCTTCCAGAAGACAAACACTACTTTGAGTCACAGCTATAAAGGCCAAACACAGTTAATTTTTATGCTCTCCAGGTTGGAGGATTCCAGCCTTGGAGCATGAGCAATAGTCCAGCCTTTGGAGTAACATTGTCTAAAGTATCCATTGTGGCAGTCAGGTGTCAGGATACATCCCAGCCAAGTCCCAGTACTCCACAGGATGTACCAACTAGCACCATCCAGACTAATCTAAGCCAATGAAAAGCTCCCTTCAGTGAAAAATATCTTCTAAGGACTACAGATCTGGTTCTTAACACGTAACTGTTACACACATCACGCTTAATTCTATAGAATAACAAAGAGTCAGGCCTAAGAAAAAGCTGACCGTGGTTAGCAAGAAAAAATTAAAAAATAAATGAATAAAAAACTCAACCCAAACCAAAACCAACCCACACACACACAAAAAACAAACAAAAAAAAAAACCCCAGACTTTCCAAAGAGCGTGGTGAGAACAGCAGCCACAATTTTTAAATCCTCACACTTTTGCAGAAAAGTAACTACCTTTGGCTCCAAACCAAATGAATAGTGTTTAAGATGGAAGTCACACTGGTTTTACCAACTGGTATGCAGAAGTGAAAGTGAACCTTGGCAATTTCTTGCTCAAATTCTCCTGTATACTACAGCACGCATACAGGGATACTCAAAGCTAATTTACAAAACTAGTTTCAAGGTTCAGTATTAAAAAGAGTTGCTAACAAATTCAAGTTACCTCACAACCATGAAGCCAAATCATCACCTTATTCCTGTAAGTCTACAAACACATTCAAAAAAGTAAAATCAAAAAAGCCAATTCCTAAATAGAACCCAGTTTTTGCTAGACAGGGAGGAAGAAAGCAGAGAGCTGAAACCTCCTGGCTTGTTCACTTTCCTGGTGCAAGAACATGCACAGGGCAAACTGGGACAGCCACATCCAAGGAGGGAGAATTCACTTGAGAGCCAGCAGGCAAAGAGTACTCATTACCACCACCTCCTTGGGTTTTTTCAGTGAACCCTCAAAATAAATGCTGCTGCAGCATTCATTGAACCCACCCACAGCTTGCCTGGGCCAGGACTCCATACCCAAAACCACTCTCAAACATCAGTGAATTGGGGACTGACAGTCTTTACTAATACAAACTGAAGCAGCTGGTGACAAAGAGGCTTCCTGAACCTCTTTTAAAATCAATGAAATGGAAAGCCGCTCACTGACTAATCACCTAATAGACTAATTAGCCAATTAATTAACAGCTAACTAATGAAAACACAGGAGTCCCATTTCCTCCTGGAAATCGCAAATCCAAACCAAGTCTGCAGGCAGAAAAACTGCTTATTTTTCTATCCCAAATCCAAAGTTTCCTCTCCAAAGCCATTTTTTTATCCATTCCTTCAAACAGCAAAGCTTCCACTTTTATTTTGCAACACAGCAGCAAACAAAGATAATGCCAAGAATAACTTTGATGAATGCAACATTTCCTCTGTTGCTGAAAAGCTGGGTTTAAGGTCTTTCTCACTGTTTTTGCTAGCATCCTGTATCTAGAAGTACATTTTAATTCCCAATGCACAGGTGATTTAACACCAGGCCTGCCGCTGGACAATGAATAAGGCATGATTCACACCACGCTTTCCATGGCTGTTGGTTCAAAGATGTTCTTATGGGGGAACAGGTACAACAGGGAGAAGGTAGTGGAAGACTCATGTTCTTTGCTTACATGTGTCAAGGTTTTAATCTTTTTCAAACAGTGAAAAGGTACCCTTCCCTCCCCAAAGGCTAAGCACCGACCACTATAAGTTCTTCCTACAAGGGAAAAGACAGCATCACACACATTCTCAGAGCATGACTGCTGGCACAGGCTTCTCTGAGGACTTGGGCACCAGGACCGATTTCTAGATCACAGTGAGAAATAAAACACAAGACAGACACTGAGGCATTCAAGCTGGGGCAGCCCCAGAGAGACAGCAAAGTACAACTGGAGGTATTTAAAGACACTCCGCAACTAAGAAGGTGCCTGTCCTATTCAAGGTTGCTCAGGCAGCAGCTGAACAGGGTATTTAAAGAAGAGGGTAGCGGAGAAGGAAGAAAAAACTAAATCATAATTTTGCACAATAACCAGCAAGGCTGCCCTGCTAAATGAGGGTTCACTCCTATTTTGTTTTGCATGCAAGCTGCTGCTCTCCAGGGCGCTTCAGCTAACCTTGCCCTGCCAGCTTCAGTGTGTAGAAAGATTAGTCCAGCCTACCCCAGTCCCACCTTCCCAGAACATAAACTGGCCTCAGATTTTTTGCAGACAAACGCTGCACCCATATTTTGGATTCCCTAAGTTCTTCTTGCAGCTTTAAAGAATCTAGTTTGCTCGGGTGGGTTTCCTACCCAGATACCCACACCCTGCTTCAAGAGGTACGCCTTTTAATAATGGGGGAAAATGGAAAGTATCTTTATACATAGGGATGTGAGGCTTACTATAAAAGTAAGAACAGCTATGACAGTTAGAGACAGGCTCTCCAAAATAGCTTCACAAATATCTATTCTGTTGTTGTTTGGATTTTCTCTATTTTTATTGAAACTTTGTACAGAAGTTTTAAACATTTCCATACAATACTTTTAGACAGGACAAAATGCCATGGTAAAGGAATGTAAACTGCAAGAAACACAGTCTGAAGTATCCAAATACTCTCTAATAAGAGTTTTAGTTTGAAGACTAATGCAGTAGGCAAAATAATATGCATACAGTATACAAAGAACAGTATACACAGGGCCAGCAATGCTAACTATGAAATTTTTGCATCAGATTTACTTCAAAGATTTATAGCAATATGATAATTCTATACACTAGACCAAAATTAATTTATCATACATTGTTTCTATGACAAAAAGCTTGTCATTAAGGACAGTAGCAACTTACAATATACTTAAGCTGTATTAATCTCAGTAACACTTCTAAATCTATATTCCTACTACAGTAATTTTTTTCAGTATATTGTCTTATAAGATCTTAACAGACCTTTGAATAACACTTTACCAAAAGAGACCTGGATCCATTACAGCGATCTTATCTACATGCCCATTTGGCTTATTAAAACAAAAACAAACCAACCAAAACACAAGAGACAAGGAAAAAATGCAGGTTTCAAATGCTCTATGATATCATTTGGTTTTGGTCTGAAATTAGTTTAGTTGGTTAAAAAAAAAAACAAAACAAAAAAAAAACACAAAACAAAAAAAACAACACCAAAAAGGCAGTTCATTAACTGGTATTTTATATAAAATCTGCAGAAAAATACAACAGCAACAAAAAATAAAAGTACTTCACAGATACCTAAAAAAACATTATATCAGAGATAAAGGTAAAGCAGCATCACTCTGACACTGTGCTTTAAAAATAAGATGAATGAAGAGACTGCTCTAGTGATATTAGAAAATTTGCTTTCTTCTTGAAGAAGAAGACTACTAACATTTTGCACAGCAACTATTTTTATAACCACCTCATTTAAAAACGTGTATTCATAGACACAGAGAATTGTCATATCATTACCATTTTTGCTCAAAGTGTCTGACTTTACACAGTGAAACTGATAATGCTAAGTGTCACCAGATGTCACTATATCATGAATATTAGAAGAGAAGCAAATGCCTTTAAACCAACACCATAAAAGAAACAACAGAAAGTGTTTTGTAAACAAAACAAACCACATTGCAAAACAAGAGAGTTCAGAGATCTCACAGTGAAATCAGAAATCCTAATTATATATGTTTACATTCTAGGACTACTCTTTACCTTAGGCCAATTAAAGCACATTAAACCATTTAATTATATACAAACATTTTCTTAAAAAAAAAATTTAAACCATTGCACACACATCTGCTTTTTAACACCACATAACAAGGTTAGTTTTATTTTCAAAACAATTACATTTAAGGGCACAGAACATACAGAATACCAAATTAACAGATGAGTATTTTGCTTCACTGTACATGCTAAATCCAAAGATTTCCTCAAGAAAGCCAGAGCTTAGCAACTCCAACTTCTTCCATGCATCCTGTTCTCTGAAAGGGAGCATCTCCCAACACCTCCTTTATCTTAGGATTTAAAAAAATATATATATAAAAAAAATAAAGCTGTAAGTTTTAAAGTTGTAAGCATCTTCTGCTTTAAGTGCTCGCACAGAGATCCTTTGATGGCTCTCCCCACTACACTGTAACCTTGTGGGAAATCCTTTCCACTACTCAGTTACAGTACGCTCATGACTTGCATCAGAACTTTCATGCTGGACCTTCTGGGATTAGGGTGGAAAGGGGAACACAGAAGTGGAGAAGTAGAAAATACACAAGCGGTATACTGAAGGCCATTTTAACTTCTTACAATCTCTCACTGTTTCCTTTCAGGTTCTAGTAAAAGCTAACAGGAAAAAAAAAACAAAACAAAAAAAAACCCAACCTAAACTTTGGCAGAGAATAGCATCAAATCAGTCCTTTAGAAAAAAGTTAAATAAGAACAGCCTCCCAAAGCTTCTCAAGAAGCCTCTCTTTCAAATAAAAGGCTTCTAACAAATTTCTGGGAGAAAATTCAAATAACAGAAAAATAAGTTAAGGAAAGTAACAAAAAAAGGTGTCACTCCAAAATAAGTTTTTCAAGACATAATTCTAAGCTCAAGGCAATAAATAAACCAGCTGCTACAAGACAGACGCATGTGTCCTCCTGGATCTGACCCTGCATGACTAGCCAGTCCCACCAAGGAGGCAGCCAGGCATTAGAATTCATGAAATTGATTGTCCATTATGGGAGACACTTTGTAGTTTTACTGGACCAAAAAGTTGGTCTTCATACCGAAACATTAACCTGGATTAACATCTCTTCCATGTAGATCATAATCAGAAGATGAGCAAAGGCATGTTTACGCTATAAAAAAAAAAAATCCTCAAGCAACTTCTTAAGCTAAGGTCCATAACACAGGGCAAGGTACTTGCTTACCAAAAGACAGTTTGCTTGAAACTTTACATATATATATTTTCATATATATATATATATATATGGGGTTTTTTTCTATTAAAGGCATTTTATTAAGTGGTTATACTCAGCAAAAAACATTAGCAAGTTCTATAACACCTAAGACATGAAAACAGCAAGACTGAAGAGGCTGGCATTAGGCAGAGAGTAGCATAGAAACATTTTTAAATGACTGAAAAAGCACTGGAGAAATAATTTGCTTAAAAGCTTCCTCACAATAATAGGTCTAAAGATGGGGGGGATGCAAAGTATTAAGATCCTGACTGACTGCCAATTGCCACTGTGATTAATGCAGCAACTTGTTACTTTAGCAAAAGTAAGAAGACATTAACTGGAAGATGGAGTATCTTGGATTCAACAGCAAAGGTTGCACTGTAACATTTATGAAGGAGTGTTGACTCCCTACCGCTGTCAAAGGATAACTTCACCATGGATCTGACTGCAGTTACACTGAACAGGATACTGGCATCCTGTATGTTAACTCTTTAAACAGTATTCTCTTTTAAAAAAAGCAAATGACTTGAGGGAGCAGAGAGGAGGATAAACAAGCTGGGAAAAGCCATTATAAGCAACCCACTCCTCAGGCGGCTATAAAAGCCATGCCTTCAGCTTCATGACCATGTAAGGCACCCTGGGAAAAAAGCAAGCGCAGATGAAGCACCAGCAGCCAAGCATAAGGGTCCCTGAGCTAACCTGGCTTCACAGGTTAGGTGGCAATGCATTTGTTAGTACTGAGAGCAGAAAGAACTGGTCTAGAAAATCCAAGTACCAGCTGCTAAAAGAAAGACATGCCAAGTTACTAAGGGACAGTGCCTGCTACATGAGTCTCTTTTCCTGTGCCAAATTAGGCGTATTCGCCAGATCCCAGCCTTCTCAAGAAGATATTGTTGGACTGAGACTTATCTTTACCCTCCACAAGTTATTTTTCGTCCCACTAAAATCAATTGCCCTAGGTTACTTTATCCAGCATAGGAAAAAAAAAATAAAATAATAATCAACTGTGTTTTACAGCTTTCTAACAGTACTGTCCTTCCCGACTCAGCCTACTAATGAAGCAACTTGAGATGCCACTACCCATTTCACATACTTTACCATTACAAACAATTTAAAATACTTTTTCTGAATGAAGCCAGCCACACAAACCGTAAGACAATGTGTCTTGTCACACTGCTGTTAACACCAAGACAAGTATGGCAACTCTCCTCTTCTACATATATTGCAACTGCACTCCTACACTTATTCCAGTATTTCCAGTTAAGAACAGTCTGCTTTCCAGCAGCAACAACTGAAAGCTAAGAAAGGCAGGGCATCTTGGCCTCTGTTTAAAGTCTTGGAATGACCGGGATTCAGTTGATTTAAAAATAAACACCAAAATGAACAAACAAACACCCCCCCCCCCCCCCCAAAAAAAACACACCAAAGAAAACCCCCCCAAAAATGGAAGTTAGTAATTTTATCTGAAAATATGTATTATACATGATACTACTAAAAGCTATTTGGACAGCCTGCAGCTTACAGCACCACTGTACTGGAAAGCAAATTTTCTCCAGCAGACAAAGGCAGAATGCACCCGAATTCCATCGCAACATAACCATTTCACCCATAGGGATTGGTTCTTTTGTATGTGCCAAGGAAACATTGCTGGAACCTTGAATCAATGCTGCTGAAGAATCAGCATGGTCCCTCAGACCGTGTTTCTGGCCTAGCCAGGTCATGCTCTCACAAATCCCCAGACAACTTCTGGAGCAAAGACAACTAGAGGAATCATTTTCACAGGAAGCCTGAATATGACTATTCCGTCATGGAGGATAAGGGAGTTTACTACCACAAGTGCAGCCACACACTGTCAACTGGCCTCTGCACCCAAAAACAGGTCCTGACTTGGTTTAGTGTAAGGGCAAGAACACCACGGACAGCAACACATTCTCCTGCTTTACCAAGGAGAAGTGGACCTTGTGGTCTGCTGAGCTCCACCAACCTACTGCACACACATCCTCCACACCTGGAAACCATTCATCCCTGCCTTGGGCATCCAACCTTCAGAAGAAAAGAATCTCAGCATCTCTACACCTACTGAGCACCTGTGATCGCCTGGGAAAAGTTTCACTTTTATCTGAAGGATCGTGTGCAGACCTCAATTGCTGACACAGATTACAATTGCACATGCTCCTTATCTCCTGACACAGAATCCCTCAGGAGTCATTCCTTAAGGAAAAAAAACAAAAGTCTGATAGGTAGAAAGAGGAAGTGGGAAAAGACATGAGGCAAAAGGACTCTGGAAAATAAGGACCACTTCCAGTACCTTCCCTCAGTTCCCCTGCCTCTTGTCTTCCCACTTGGTTTTCTTCCCTTAGACTCAGCGTGCAGCAATGGTAGGGATGCACAGTGTTGCCCTTCTAAAATGGTAGGGCTGCAAAGTATTGTCCTGTTGAAAGGCAGCATATTGCCCTTCTACACATACACAGCAGAGAATTTATTTTACAGTGTGCTTACCAAACTGAAGACATGCCAAGTCGCACAGTTCTTTTCCTCATGCGGTAGAACCTATGCAGAGATTTTTTTCTTCTAGAAAGAGGCTAACCCTAATTGTGTGCTAAAGGTTTGGACATTGAGGAGGCTGGATAAAGGCTCTTGTATTTCAACATACTACAAAACCTAACCAAAGAGTATCTCTTTTTTTCCTTTCCCCCTTCTCCTCCATTGTCCGTCTGTCATCTCCAGGATTTTTGGTTTGGTTTTTCTTTTTTGTCTTTTTTTTTTTAAATACAGCAACTTTTCAGTAATGGAATTTACAGTGGATATTCTTACAGAGGAAAAAAGACAGAAAGCTACTAACAGCTATCAAGGTTTAAGTGCTACAAGATGAGACAAAATATCTTTCTGTTGTTACTATGAGAGAAATGAGAAACTAAAAACACAAAAAACAAAACACAACTAACAAAACCTAAAAGCAGTGAACAAAATTAAAGAGTGCCAAGTTGGCCAAGGTGATTTAGCTATGTTACAAAGAACAACTACACCATGATGTGCATCGCAGCCCTACATTTAAAAATCTTTCAACACAGCTTTAATCATTTAGATTTTATACATCAGCAAATGATACGTTATCTTAATGCTGATTGAGCTATGTAACTGCCTGACTTCAAACGCAGCCACCTTTGGTATATTTATACACATGTACATGGAAAAGACAAAAGGTTAGTACTGCAAATAGGAAAAAAAAAGGAAAAAGTCAAAAGGGGGAAAAGACGACACAACAGGCTCTGCTTTCAGCAGAGATAGGACAACATATCTCAAATGGTCTCTAAATAGGCTAAAATTGAGTTGATCTTACAATTATAGCGTAAACAATGCCTGGGTTGCAGTTGTGTTATTTGAAAAGAAAAAAAAATTAAAACAAAACAAAAAAATCTCTAGAGACCTTCTGTATGTTTAGCCATACCCTTAAAAGTTTACTATTCACTCACAAAGAGAAATAGACAAACATGAATATTCCAAGCGAACAGACACAGACCAGTCCAGTATTTAGTAATAGTTTAACTTTTGGAGTCTCTTCCAGCATTTGTAAACAAACAGTCTCTTCCTCCATCTCCCGAACAGCTCTCTTGTTCATGTTTTTACTTTTAAAGCCACAGAACCAATCTATGAATTTCAAATGTCTCTCTCTCTCATCAGTCTCTTCCTCATGCTTTTTCTCCCCCATCAAAGCTGCTTGTCCATTCGAATAACAATCAACTGGTGTCTCGACTTCAGAGTGACTCACAGAAATCACCGGGTTGCTGTCATCTCTGCAAGTAACCAGAAGATTGATATCCTCCGGCTTAATATTTTTAATATTTTCTTCCGATTTGCCGTTTGGAATTATATGGTTAGCGTTTTCATTGCACTTGAGGATGCTCTTTTCTTGCACTTTGTACAGCTCCCCCTTTGTAGCGCTCTCTTTCACATTCCTGTTTTTCACAGCCCAGAAAGTGGTTGTCCGAACCTGCTCCTTCGTAGGTGGAGGTGTGAGGAGGCTTACTACAAAGGTCACAATCCCAGTGATCCAGAACAGAGTTGTCGCAACATACATGTAATGGATGTTTTTGATAAAGCTTGGCCTAGTATCTGGCTGGTTACACTCAGGAGCACGATAGATAAATGCCAGTATCAACCGGATCGCTCCAAGAACAAACCCAGCCATTCCACCATAGAAAGCCCCTTGCTCATTGCAGCGTTTCCAAAAGATACCCATAAGAAACAGAGCAGCTACTGGTGGGGTCAAGTAGTCTGCTACCTCTTGGATATAAAGGTACATCTGACCACCTTGCATTTCTACAATTATCGGGACCCAGGCAATGCTTATAACTACCATGAACGCGACAAAGACTCTTCCTACAACCATCAGTTCTCTAGACGTTGCGCTCTTCCGAATGAGCTTGTAGACATCGAGTGTGAATATGGTGCTGGCACTGTTGAATATAGAGTCCAAGTCACTCATCAGTGCAGCAATCATCACAGCCATCATTAGTCCTCTCAGACCAACCGGCACAAGTTTCATCACCAAACGTGGGTAGGCAATGTTAGAGCATCCCGCTCTGCTCCCGCAGACTTGAAAACAGTGTTCCGGGTTAATGCAGGCGATATCATCTGCAAACAGTATTCGTGAAATCATTCCTGGGACAACTATAATAAACATCGGCAGCAACTTCAAGAAGCCTGCCATCAGAGTGGATCCTTTGGCATGAGCAATGTTTTTTGCAGCTAAAACTCTCTGAACTATGACTTGATCGGCACACCAGTACCAGACAGAAGCTGGAGTCTGTCCCAACAGAAATCCAGGCCAGGGAATATCTTCATCTGTTGGCTCACGCAACATTTTAAGAGCATCAGGCTTTGGGTCAACATTGCAGGAATTGGTATTGGAAATGTTGTAGGTTAACAAGATAGACGTAATATTTGGCGACGCTAACATGTACCTTCTTTTAACTTCTTCAAACCCACCAACCTCCATAATACTTATGATCATAAGTGTGAGGGCACCAATAATCATAAGCAGAGCTTGAAGCGTGTCTGTGTAGATGACAGCCACAAGACCTCCAGTCACAGTCAACAGCGCGGTCATTCCAATAAGGAGGATAACTGACAAATAGAGGTTCCACCCCAGCGATTCTTGAATAAAAAGTGCCCCTGAATACAAGTCAACTGAGAGTTTGGTGAAGATATAAAGAATTAGAGACAATGCTGCAAAATATATTTGAATTCTATGCCCTCCAAAACGCTTGGACAAGTATTCAGGCATGGTGTATACTCCCGACCGGATGTAGACTGGGACGAAGACCCATCCTAAAAGCTGCAAAAGCATTAAGGCGTTGAATTCCCATGCACCTACTGCAAATCCACTCGCCGCTCCGGATCCTGCGAGCCCAATGAAATGTTCGCTTCCAATATTGCTCACAAATAAAGATGCACCAATAGCTACCCAGGTCATAGAACGCCCTGCCAAAAAGTAGCCACTTACGGTGCTCCGATTGTATTTCCACATGGCAAAAAAACCTATGCACATTACAAGCACGAAGTACAGCACCACAATGGCAATGTCTGCTGTTTCCAAAGAAGCCCTCATTTTTGTAAACAAAATGCCTTCGCACAGCTGATGTCCACTTCTCGCCCCCCAGCAAATGTCTTTTAAGCAACACGTGAACCAGTTAACATATATCAACACTGTGGATCAAATTCTTTGTCCCTTGGTTTGCTGTCCTGATGCTGGTGGTTGTGGTACATTTACTTTCTCCGCTTCTCAAATGGAAATTTGGAACTTAGCACGCACTTTTAATCCACATTCCACAAGAGCATCAGCCTTAACTCAGTTGATGTAGGAGAAATTCTTAGTTGCAGCTAAGTTTAGTGAGGCCTACTGTACCAACCCTGCAAGGCAGCAAAGACAAAAGACAAAGATTGAATTAGAGAAGAATTTCATGAAGTAATGAGAAAAAATTTGAAGTCGAGTAAAACAATGACTGAACACCACAGATTTTTTCCCCCTTATATTTTCTGCTGTATTTATGCAATCCATAACAGACATAATTAAATAGTTGTAGAACTAAACAGCAATGCCTTTTGCTAGTCAACTTTAATGTTTACAAGTACTTTAAGGGACGCAGCAATTCTGGAGTATAAAATGACCCAAATTCCCCACAAGGCAAGGAACAGAAATATATTTCATTTTTCTTTAGAGTCTCACAAGTCTACTTCACAAGTCATTAAATAGCCCTTCCTCTTTCAAGCAATCTTAGGGAAATAAAAACCAAACAAAAAACAGCCACTAAGGAGCATTAACCTGGCTAGTCATTTTTTGTATTGCTCTAGCACTGCATCCCACAAATCTTCATAGATCCTGGCATCACATGCATGCATTTGAGATACCAGCTGGCTGCTAGAGCTAAAAATCAAAGTGAAGTTGCAATACTGTCAAAAACACAATGTATATCTAAGATCAGCTGAAAAAAAAAAATAAAAATTCAAGGTTATTCAGATGAGCTTGGACCTGTCTGGAGTACAGATGACTTACATTTTACTCTGAAAGCTCTTCATACAATATCCCATGTAATCTAGGTGAAGAAAAAGTCCCATTCAAACAAAGGGCAAAATCAAAACAATGCCTGACATCTGGCTTAAGGGTATTTGTCTGCTGTGAGCATTTTGATGTTCACGCCTGCATGGTTTCAGCATTTCTGGGGAGCACCCTACGCACATGGGAGAGAACCGGATAGATTTTGTAGCAGTCACAGTTGCTAGGATGCCAGGAAACAGTTCCCAGCATTAACTATGTGTATCCAAGCACTAATTGGATCACTAACATCAGAGGTAGAGAGTTTCGAGGCAAAGCATACCCTGCCACTCTAGTCCTGCACCCTCAATCACACCCAATTCTACCAAAGCATGTCAGGAAACAGGCACTCACTTCAGCAAGTAGGTCTGAAGTGCTCAAAGGATGGAAAGGGATAATATGACTTGCTAGCAGACAACCAAACAGGTTGGAGAGGAAGAGGCACTGAAGAGCTGCACAGTAGGTCCTGCTTCTGCTATGAAGACAGGATAATCCTATCTCCTTCTACATGTTGGGAAGTATACTCTACCTATACACACCTGTCCTGGCTGTATACACCCAAACCTTTATGGGTTTAGAGAGTGCTGGACATAAGATTTTTCTGCTTCCTACACCAAATGTGCACAACAATGGGAAGACCAAAGCAAAGAACTCATTTAGTCTAAAAATCAGAACTCAAACCTTTAGTATTCAAGATTATTACAGAAGATTACAGAAGAGTAAGGAACAGGGTCTGACTCCATTCCTCTTTCCCACCCACTGGTAAAAGTAATATAGGCACAAAAAATAAATAAAATAAAATCACTGCACTGGATCTTTTTTCTGACCATAAGGTCTGCCAGCCTTAGAAGTCTTACAAGCAACAGCTTCAGGCATCCCCCCTTCCACTTCAGTTGTAGAAGTGCTTTAGCACTATGTGGAAGCTCTCATTTCCTTATTAATTCATCTATGATTAACTAAAACAATCATGTAACATTCTAGTATTTGGGTGGGCTCTTGTTCAGCATCCCTGCAGCATATTCGTTATGTTAAAAAAAAAAAATAGAGAGCAAATAAAAACATTACAAATTCTCAGAGAGACCACAATAAAAACTAGTCAAGGTTGAAAATGCAGACATCCCCCCCCCACCTTACTTTGTGCATTACTAAAGGCAACAACAGTGCTGATGCAAGAATGTGCACTTCTCATTAAGAAAAATGTATTTTTGAAACAGCTTACAGCAAACCACAACTTCAGCCTTGAGAAATTCACATTCATGGTATTCATATAAGCGGGCTATTTTCAAGAATAGTTCAGAATCAAAAAAGATAACAAGGGTTCCCCACCACCACCACAAACCCACATGAGAATAGATATTCATTCTGCAGAAGTTATAGCCAATAAAGAGAGACTACAGAGACATGGCACAGCATGGACTGATTACAGTAGTGTGCTAAATTTATCATGCTCATAAGCCTCAAACCACAGATGTATTTTAAATCCTTACACAGAAGGATTCACATTTACCCTCATCCACAAATGAAGTGGTAGTTAAATGGTCTATTAGTTTAATCCAATACAAAGTTATGAACACTTCAGATCATATGACATGATCAGATACAAGTATAATGTACTATTCTTCGTTTTGAGCACTTTTGAGTGACACTTTAATAGTTCTGCATCTTTTACTATATTCAGCAAAGTTTTCAAATGCAACTACACTGCAATGTTTATATTTAAACTATAAGTATTTTAAAGAAAGGGGAAGATACTTTCCTCAAACTGGAAAGAAGGAAAAGTACCACATAGAAAAATCAGAGGAATAGGCAAACTATGGAAATAGTAATAATTGGTATTTTCCCTCTTCTATTCCTTAAGATCATCTAGTTCCAACCCCCCTGCCGTGGGCAGGGACACCTAACGCTAAATCATATCACCCAAGGCCTCGTCCAACCTGGCCTTGAACACTGCCAGGCATGGAGCATTCAAAACCTCCCTGGGCAACCCATTCCAGTGCCTCACCACCCTAACAGGAAAGAATTTCCTTCTTCTATCCAACCTAAACTTCCCCTTTTTAAGTTTTAACCCGTTACCCCTTGTCCTGTCACTACAGTCCCTAAAAAGAGTCCCTCTCCAGCATCCCTATAGGCCCCCTTCAGATACGGGACTGTTACTGGAAAATGTTAGACTTGAACTTTAGTTCACTTTCCACTATCTCCCCTGTATGTTAACCAATGACCTTGCAAAACTATATTATACTGTAACATACATAAATAAAAAAATATTTGTTAAAACTACATCTATTTGATACAAGAGGTACCAAGCAAATAGTAGAACTACTACAAGCATGTTATACCCCACCAAAAAGTGTGCAAGTATTAGATGCAGCTGCCCTTGAATAAATTGTGACATTTCTCAATTAGGATACTTTGCCAAACTACAATGGGCTCATTCTAACCCAGATAAACAATACATGAAGTTCTTGAGCATTTCCACCTCAAGGCACAGCCAGACCATGCATTTGAAATGATCAGCCTACAGGAACCTGAAACATCACCTTTGTAATCAACATCTGAATTTTGCAGGGTTCAGCTTGCTTGAGCAGGAAGGTGGAAAGTTTTCAGTAGCTGCTACAAATCTGCTGCACTGTCACTAAATTACTGTACTAAAGTAGCTTCTTGTACCAGTTTCTTATTAGACCTAATTCTAAAATAACCCTGGAACTTTTTTCATTACAAAAATGAGACTCGTCCCTCTGAACTTTCAGCAAGTTATGACCTCAAGTCTTAAGAAGGACTTTTGAGACGCCCCATGCGAGTTTAATCTCAAGTTATTAGAACAGCATTACATTGTGGCACTGACAGAAAACAAAAAAGACAGAAAGACTGCACTGCTGCCAAGGACTGATTTTTTTTTTCCCCTAAGGCTGTTTTCTGGCTGGATCATATCAAAGACACAAAACAATGTGCTTCCCTCTTGTCTGAAGATAGAGGGCTACAGCTCTGGTGAAACAATGCATATGTCTCTCCAATGGGCAGCCTGTCCTATAATAAAAAAAAGTCTCAAGCAATTCCCTGAAGAGATATCAGATAATGTGAACCAGATTTAGGGTGGGATTTTTAGGAGAAATTTTTATGACTGTTTTAAAGGAAAACTTTCTCCACAGTGCTTTTCTAATAAAACAGGTCTTTAAGCATGCCAGAATCTAACTGCTCCAGCCCTAAAGCAACTATTTTTTTTCTGCTTAGTGTATTTCTCTTCTCAGCAGATGGGAAGTTTCTCAGTTGACTTTCCTCTTCTTTTGCAGTTAAAAAAAAAAAAAAAATTCAGTCCCAATGGCAAACGTTTTAAGGGTTATTTTGAGGATGCAAATGCCCACATATCACACAGGAGCGTCCACTGCTACTATTTGTTAACAAATAAAATACATACTTAACTGTTTTCCTAGACTTCAAAGTAGTTTTGAGGTTCTTTCTTAGAAGCAACAGATTTCTTCTCCACCTCCTTCAAGCAGCGGTTATGTTAACTCATGCTGGTGACATGTTACCTATTGGACAACTCACTTGCATGGAAGAAATATACCCACATCGTCAGGCCCAACACCTACACAGAAAACAACAACAATCCAACAGTCTCTCATGCCTTGAGCAGGCCTGTACAACACCCAACCCCCTGAGTGTATTAGCTGGGCTGCTCCACAGCAGGCTACCTGCTACAGACACACAGGTGAGTTCCTACCTGCTCCACAGCAAACACAAGGCATTCTGAGGTAGCCTATCTCAGAGAGAAAAAAAAAGGAAAAAAATAAAGAGGAAAAAGCTTCATTCCATTTACTGCAGCACTCTAGAATACAAAAAAGGAGCACAAACGTTCTTCATGGAATAACCGATACAAATAACTGAACTGATAACAATAACTGAATAACTGATACTTGTCCTTATGTAATACACGCCCTTGAGAAAGCGGAGGCCATCCTTGCAGCTGCTGAATACGGCACTAAACATCCAGGACCACAGTTTCAAGACTTTCCCTTGTA